TCTTGTCCAACCTCGGCATAGAGGAGGTAGGCAGTGAAGAAACCCCCCCTGAAGAGGAGACTCCCAAGCTAGGTGAAGAAGAGGGAGAGGGGGTTTCAAGCAGGAGGAGGGGACTCCGAAAAGACAGACCAGTCTGAAAACCCAAAGGACTGAGACGTCCTCCTGACTGGCAGGCCACACCTGGAGAGCGGCCGCAGAAGGGAGCTGGGAAGAGCGTTCCGCTGTTGCTATCATCGTCTGCCAAGTCAAATCTAGACGATGACTCCACTGGGAGTTTGCAGATGGCCTGGACAGGTTGGATGGAGGGCAGACAGACGACAGGAGAAGCAAACTGAACGTTTTCATTTGTCTCCAATTAGTTACATGGTAAACTCTCATCCTCCCAAACACGGCTGACACTTCCCCAACCAAAATAGGCCAGAATTCCTGCAGGATAAAATTCACTGTTATAAGATCAGTGACTCTTTGCAAAATGCAACAAACAAATCAACAAAAGACTTCTTATGAAATTTTCAATATTATTTAAGAAAAACCAGAAACAATGTTTTTAGCTGTTATGTTTTTAAAATGTTGAAAAGGTTAAAAATATTATATGTTATATGTGTTTTTAAAATGTTGAATGTTACTGAAGCGCCTTTTCAGTGCACCCTAATATTCTGAAGGAGAAAGATGCTGCCTCCAGTGCTCGGCCACTGCTTTGGGAGCAAGACATATGAAACAGAAAATTTTCTTTTGGCCCAGATGTTTTGTTTTCAGCTAATGCATAGATTCTTATACAGTGCAGGGGGGAAATCAAGATCTGTATTAGAAAAATACATAAATATTGAAAAAACAAATACACATGTCATGGGTGGAAGAGCTGCAGGGATAGCGTTGGAAGCGAGCGTGCCCCGCCTTCGCAAGGTCGGGGACCGGGCTGAGAACGGGAGAAACGTCTCTCCTGCCCCCTAGTGTTGACTGGCCTGACCTGCAGCATTCCAAAGACTCCTGAAACATTTAAATAGACAACAGATTCCTGCAGATTTTGCCTTAACCCAGAACAACGTACATCACAGTGAATGAAGTTTAATTCATCACCCCTATTTACGAAAGCTTCCTCCTCCTTTTCCATTATTATAACAATAATTTAAGTATCCAAGTGTGGTAGACAGAGGCCTGGTGTTTGCTGACGGCTCTGTGCGCGGAATCTACTCTGGCCGCAATATGCAGCTAATTAAGGATGCCAAGAGGGGCTAGAGGACATGATGAGGTGCCTGCTACCCGTGATAAATGTGGGGGATCTTCTGAACTAATCGCTGAGCGGACAGGGAGCAGGGCTGCGTGCGTGTACACTGCCGTGGAGTTTGGGAAAGTGAAGGCCAGGGCCGAGCAGGGACCACGGCCAAGGAGGAAAACTGAGGACAGGAGAAGCAGAGGTGGGCACTTGGCGGGACGCCCGCGTGAACACTAGACGGCGGGAGGAAGAAGCAGCTGACCAGACCGGGGATTAGTGTTGCTCCAAGCTGGTTTAGATGTAAGACATGCAGTAGAATAAGCATCTCTCCGTAAACAAGCAAACAAGAGGCCATTAGGACAGAAAGGAAATCCCATTTTAGAGAAGCAATCAAATAATGTGATTAAACAACTGAAGAAAATGGTTTACCTATATCTGTTCTTACAAGTTGTACAAGAAGCTGCTAAAATATGATGTTTAAAATTCTTTTAAATCTAAGAACACGAACATTAAAACCCAGACAACAGACTTTGAGGAGATATGTTTCCTGCGTGTGGTTTCGTGGGAGGAGGAAATGGACCCACCACAGCTCATGAGTCTATTTATTCGCCTGTTGTCTTGGAAGCCCAATCTCCTCCCTCTCCTTAAGCCTCGAGGCCAAGCCCCCAGCGCCGTGCCCACTGCACATGAGATCTCAGTAAATGTTTATTGTAGGTTGTAAATCCTATAAACCAAGGTAAAATGACGCAAGGAGGTCTCACAGACACAAAACAGTGAACTATTACATCGCGAAATACTCCACAACTCATTTGTCAGTAGGTTGGATATTTTTGTGAAGCAAATTCTCATATGCTGATATTTATCCATCCTTCTATATTTCCTCAAGAGTAGCTTATTATTTTCAGTCTCCACCCACTCCCTCCCTCTTCCTCTCAATGAAAAAATATTCTCGTGCCGGGCGCAGTTGCTCACACCTCTAATTCTAGCACTTTGGGAGGCCAAAGCAGGTGGATCACATGAGGTCAGGAGTTCAAGACCAGCCTGGCCAACATAGTGAAACCTCATCTCTACTAACGATACAAAAATTAGCTGGGCACGGTGGTGCAGCAGGAGAATCTCTTGAACCTGGGAGGCAGAGGTTGCAGTGAGCTGAGATTGCACCACTGCACTCCAGCCTGGTGACAGAGTGAGACTCCATCTAAAAAATAATAATAATGAATAAACAAAAAGTATTTCCAGCAGGAACCACGTGTTCATTCTTTCCTACACTGAGTTATTATAATCACAAAGCACTGCTTTTCAGAGCACAATTTGTGTGGCTGCTCCAAACCGTCATAAGATGTAACAGCTAACAAAACTTATCTTACTAACAAAATCACAAGATAATGCAATTGTATTCATAGGAAGAGGAAGCATTTTTGTTGACCAACACTCCTGGCTGGACTTAAGTGAACCTGAAGCAGTGGGAAGCATGGAAGCAGTTTTAAGCCACAGCTTCCCACGCTTCATGCTCTCATGGTCCAGGGACAGTATTTTCAAAACACACAGTCTCTGCCCTTTTGAGATGCCGCAGATGAACACGACAGTCACGCCTTACTTTTTTCCAAGAATTAAAAGAATGTGAACTATGCTGGTGAACCATCTTTGGCTGTACCCACTGAATGAACCCAGGAACACGATGTGCCATCAGGAGAGGGCAGCACGCTCCCCATGGCTCCATCCAGAAGCTGGTTTCCCTTTGAGTCCGTTAAAGTGTCCCAAGGCCTCACTCTGCCCTAAAAAGCCCAGGGTTACAAGCGTGGGCTGCCACGAACTGCAACTGTGTGGCTTTCCAAAAATCAAGGCTGACTCCTCATGCAAATTTCAGGACCACCCTGGACCTTAAAACAAACAAACAACCATACAGAGGGTTCTCTTTTCTGGGACCTGGAGTCCCAGCTCCCACCCACATAGAAATGACAATTCTTCAATGTGAAAATTCTAACAGGCCTTAGGGACAGATGGCTTTCTTGGTTCTACAGAAGTAACATCCTTGAAAAGCGACTTATCCAGGATATCTTAATTTTTGTTTTTATATTTCTAATGTTTTTCTATGTCTTTGTTTTGATTTTAGATGTGCTGGTCTTTCTGGGCATTGTTCCATAAATGTCGTCTTTAGGATAACTTCACAGATCCTGACTTGGCCAGGTGCAGTGCACACGACTGTAGTCCCAGCTACTCGGTGGGCAGGAGGCTGAGGCAGAACATCTCTTAAGCCCAGGGGTTTGAAACAGCCCGAGCAACATAGTGATGCCTCATCTGAGATTAATTAATTTAAAAACATACTGATGTGAGGTGGGGGAAGCCACATTCAGGAAAACCCTGATCCTGCAGTTGGTGTGTAATTGCATATTTCCTAGTGAAGACTGCATTTTATTCTACCTAAGCTGGGGATCAGCCATGGACCACGTGCAGAAGCCAGCAGAGTGGATGAAACACCCAAAGCCACACGTGGCCAGTGGCTGACCTGTATTGAGAGGAAAATGACAGACCGCGGGTTCCATCTACTGTCCTATTTCTTGAGAAACCAAACAAACAGCACACAGAAAGTCCGAGAAAATGGCCTTGAGACATGCAGGCTGACAAGAGACTGCAGACATCCTTACCTTTACAGAGTTCCATCCCAAGAGGGAGCCTTCAAAAATAAAAGTCTTCCCGAAGGAAAGACACTTTGGCAGGGAGCTTTGCAGCAGGAAGTTTTCCCAAATGATTTATGTAGGGTGGTCCATACTTGGGTTAGTTTTTGTGTGAGGAAATCTTTTCTCAAGGAGCCTCCTGGCTGGGGACAGGGTATTTCCCTGGGAATTGACAAGACTCTGTAAAAACAAATTCTGTATCTAATAACTTTTCCCTGACCTGACTGTAACCTACATGAGCTCAGGCAACAGGTTTTTGTTTCCTGTTGTCACCCTAGGGCCCAGCAAAATGTGTGGCCGAGTTTCACAGGAAACATTTGTTACAGTACACACGCCAGTTAAAGTATTGACGAATCGTATCATCAGCTGACATGACTGAAAATGGCTCAAGTAACCCACGTGTCAGCTGAAGGGACTCTGTGCTGACATTAAATTCATATTAACTGGCCAGGCACAGTGGCTCACCTCACAACTGTAATCCCAGCACTTTGGAAGGCTGAGGTGGGCAGATCACTTGAGCTCAGGAGTTCAAGACCAGCCTGGCCAGCACGTTGAAAACCTGTCTCTGCTAAAAGTACAGAAAAATTAGCCAAGTGTGGTGTCACATATCTACAGTCCCAGCTACTCAGGAGGCTGGAGAATCGCTTGAACTTGGGAGGTGGAGGTAAAAGTTTGCAGTAAGCTGAGATCTCGCCGCTGAACTCCAGCCTGGGCCACAGAGCGAAACTCCAAAATTCCATCTCAAACAAACAAACAAACAAAAAAACATATTAGCTCACCGCCTCCCGTTCTCCCACTCCCCAAACATCCTGCTGGGAGCCCAGCCCCTTTGAGAGCTTTCAGTGAGCTGCTCTTGGTGACCCTGCAAAAGTTCCCTTTTGCTTACAGTCATTCTGGGTGTGCTGACACCAAAATAGAACCCATGCATTTTCTCCAGATTTCCCAAACGCTATTGAGGGAACCTGTTCTCTTCCCAGGTCCACAAGGAGGCATAGTTTCAAGGGCAAGAACTTCCCAGCGCCATGCCTCCTCCCCCACCTCCCTATGGGGGATTAGAGGTCTTTGCTTAAATTTTCGTGTGCACTGGAAGAATCAAAGATCAATCACTCCAGCAGAAGTCTAAAGGAACTCCTTTCATAGGTCAAAGGGCATGGAGAGGGAGGAAATTCCTCCCAGGGCAAAAGTCCCTGTCCCCCACATCCAGGCGGATTCCATATTTGGGTCCCCTTCCACAATCTCATGGAAGCTTTCCTCTCTTATCTTTTCCTTTCTCTTTTTCTCTTCTTCTGCCTAAATAAATCACTTTCTGCAAAAACTCTTTGGGATCCGGTATTTACTTGCGAGCGCACCGTGCCTGGCGTGGTCCCCTCTCCCATTCTTGGGTGAGAGAGAGACCAAGAGCCTGGAAGAACAGCCCACTGGGGAGTGAGCTAAGGCTCCCCCAGTGTCCCAGAACCCAGCAACACTAAGGTGGCAGTGTGTTTCAGACATTAACCGAAGGCTTGGGGGTTAAGATTGGGTTGTGTCATCATACAGATCCTAAGTATCCTAAGACCCCTAGAGACTCAGGCCTTGGTTTCCTCTTTTCTTACTCTCAGCTCTCTCCTGAGCCAGCTCATGCAGCCTCCCGTAGACCAATGACTGACAGCTCTGCCTGCAGCTCCTTCTCCGCGCTCCCCACCTGTGGGCAGCCGCTCCCCTTACATCTCCATGTGGATGTTGCACAGGCTCCACAGATGTGTGTACTTGACAAAACCTGAAACAGTAGAAAGAGCGCTCCTGCTGCAACGTGCTCAGACCTGGGAGGCTGCTGCACTGCGTGATGTTACAGCAAGGCAAGGATTTCACTAAGTTGTGATGATGGCAACTCTCTTTTCAATGTACTCTGCCATTTCTTGGCTTCTGCTTGGTTCACTTCACATACGTCGTTTCACGGCATTTTCCAAGCATATTTCTCTATTGACAAGCTATTCTTCTTTGAACTTATAGAGGGGTGATAATGTTGGTTAGGTGTCTTGTTGTCTTTTTTAATATGTAAACACAACTCGTGTATTGGAGGAGTTGCCAACGATGATCATGGCCACTAGTGCATGGGACACCGTCTCCTTAAGCTGCAGATAATTCTT